CTCTCGTTTCCTCTCTCTTCTCCTCTTATCTCCCACAACCCCATCTTTGCCACTATTGGATTGCCAGATTTGGCCATATATGCTCATCTCCTCTATCGCATTCTCTTCGTATGGTCCTCTCCATCGTTGCCACCACCTTTATTCTCATTGAAACTAAACCAACCCACACTAGTTTCTTGGTGAACCAATCGTTGTGGTTTAAGGCCTCGTCCTTTGGAAAGTGTACACTAATTAGGTCGGTTTGGTGCCAGTGTCACCTTATTGGTCCAACTTGGTTTAGTTGCCTAAGCCTAATAATTTGTATTAAAGTTATGACATACAATTCACAATTTGACTAGAAGAAAATTTTCATTACTAAGTTCCATATAAAACTTAAAAACTATTACCAAACAACTTTTAAACAGTTTTTCGTTTGTTTGAAAACTGAAAACAATTACCAAAGAAGTTTCATGTTCTCAATTTTTCACAAATAAACTATCAAACGACCTTAAAATACTTGTAAAAACCGTCAATTTTGGGAGAGTCTAGATCTCTTTAAAAAGCACGAATGTTGAAGTTAATCAAAAGAGGTTATAGATATTTCTAAGTATTATGAAATTAATCAATATACTAGATACTTGATTTGGTTGAGAAACAAGAAAGTTATCTTAAAAAGAATTTGTGAAATGTTTTGGAGTTTAAGCATGTTGTGACAGCCACTTTGGGACTTTTTTATTTTTATTAATTCCCAAAATACCATCATTCATTTTTAAAAATGACACCATCTCCACCTCCACATCCACCATCTTAATCACCTATACTACCACCACCACCACCACCACCATCACCACCACATCCTCCTCTACCACCATCACCACCGCAACCACCACATCCTCCTCGACCTACACCATCACAGCCACCACAACCTCCATCATCTCCATCATCACCACCATCACTATCACTACCACTACCACAACCACCACCTCCACCTTCATCACCACCACCACCTTCACCTACATCTCTTTCACCACCTCTACCACCACAACTACCACCACATGATTAGTGCATAACACTTTCAACATCATGTATATTTTAGTCATTATTCACAGTTACAACAATTTCATATTAAAATTTACCAAACAGTTTTGACACCACTTTTGTACTAATGCCACTTTAAAAATATTGTTTATCAAACATGGAGCTCCTTTACTTTACAACTAATTATTTTCAAAGCATAGATGAAGAAACCTTTTTATTTATTTTATTTTATTTTTTTAAGTGACAACAATCCCAAATTGGCCCTTATACTAGCAAGAGAGAAATAAAGAAGAAGAGAGGAGGAAGAAAAGCGAGAAGAGGAAGAAAAGAGAGAGAGAAAGCAAGGGAGGAAAGAGGAAGAAGAAGAAAGAGAAAGGAGAGAGTGGCGTGTGATTTGGGATATTAGGGTTAGATGTGTGCTCATAGACTTTTTGTTTAACTCAAAAGTGGGCAGCTGGACTTGGGATGTTAGAATACTTATATGGGGTTTTTTTTTTTGGTTGGTAACAGAGGGGGCTAACTCCCAGGAAAACAAGAAAGGAAATTAAAAATAGAGGAGACGGGGACTGGAGTCTCCCCTTGTATCAGCAGCCAGGATGTCTGTAATGCAAGCTGGCACCCCATCAAAGATATGCAGACCTGGATTAAAATAAAAAAATTTGGCAGCCAAAGCATCAGCTGCACAGTTCTGTTCATGAAAGATGTGTCTAACTGAGCAATTCTAATCATCACTCATTTTTAATTTGCAGCAATTAATGATGCTAAACAGGGGTTGGGTAGGAATAGTGAGAGTATTAAGCAGTGACACTGCAACATTTGAATCACTTTCCACTTCCACAGTTCGAAACCCATAGTCCCAAGATAGGGAGGACTTGGGATGTTAGAATACTTATATGGGGTTTTTTTTTTTTTTTTTGGTTGGTAACAGAAGGGGCTAACTCCCAGGAAAACAAGAAAGGAAATTAAAAATAGAGGAGACGGGGCCTGGAGTCTCCCCTTGTATCAGCAGCCAGGATGTCTGTAATGCAAGCTGGCACCCCATCAAAGATATGTAGACCTGGATTAAAATAAAAAAATTTGGCAGCCAAAGCATCAGCTGCACAGTTCTGTTCATGAAAGATGTGTCTAACTGAGCAATTCTAATCATCACTCATTTTTAATTTGTAGCAATTAATGATGCTAAACAGGGGTTGGGTAGGAATAGTGAGAGTATTAAGCAGTGACACTGCAACATTTGAATCACTTTCTACTTCCACAGTTCGAAACCCATAGTCCCAAGATAGGGAGTCCCCAGAAAATACCTCACAGTTCAGCCTCCAGGACAGAGCCAATTCCCAAGTTCACAGAATAGCCCTTAAGCCAAGCACCAGTTGCATATCTTAACACACATGTAGCCCAATATGACCCGTAGTGTTATTCCGACTCCCATTTGAGTTAATCTT